ACAACACACATAGGGCACACCGCACATTTTGAGGGGAAAAAAAAGACGTTTAAGTGCGCCTTATAGTCGTGAAAATACGGTAAAAAAAAAAAGACTGAAATATTTACCATTATAGCCTTCCAAGAAAAATAAACAAAAAAAACAATATAAAAAAAAACAACCCGAAATGAAGTGAAAACCAAAAAAGATCACAGGACTCAACAGAAGTTACCATCGATGTACTTGGCTTTATTTACTTTAACCATAAATTCCAGCAGAAACTAAATTCTCCTTCTTTATAATAAACCAGTCGTTTCCATTCAGATGTCATATTCATCCATTCATCCAGAGTTGGAATTGATTTGCTATCGTTCTCGTTGCTCTCTTTACTTTAAATATTATTTTCTTTTAAAAACTTTTACAGGTTTATTTTTTGTCTCTTAATAATTTTGAATGACAGGAGATTTGCAGGATATGACAGTATTTCCACAATTCCTTCAGCATATTGGGTTTACCATCAAAATCATGTTTCTAAGTTGATCAAATAAAGAATCTAAACCGATTCTTCCCATCTTGATTTACAATCAAGCTGCAGAATTACCGCTTTTTCTGTTCGCTTCTCCTCCATGATTACAACACTTCCTTCTTTCTCCCACTTGACTGGTTTAAAAAGCTGAGAAAAACGCCTTTAATGTTTTATTATCATTTTAAAATTCATAATCTATAGTTTGTATAAAACCTTGTTTTTCAAGAGAAAGTTTCCTTCCTTTTATTAGCAGGGATTCATCCCAGCATTTAATCCTAATCCAGCCGCTGGTGTTTCCATCCAAACATGAAATAACGTTTGTTTCCACCAGGTGAGTAAAGAGGACCGGTCCTTCCAGGACATCATGAGGTGCTACCGGACGCAGCCTCAGGCCAAGAGCCACGTAAGAGCCTGCGACTCCAATCATGATCCCACACTGAGAAAACCATCGGATCCGACTGACCTCTATGTCTTTGTGTGCTTCAGGTGTACAGAAGCGTTTTGATTTCAGGGAGGAGAAGGCCGGCCTTGGTTTCTGATGACCCCAAGACACAAAGCTCAGCAGCCAACAGCAGCAAGGATTCAGGTGGGAAGCAGCTCCCTGCTCCCTGCTCCAAAGAGGAAGAAGGTGCCAAAGGAAGAAACAGTATATACAGTGCATCCACATAGGACAGCTTTGAGGATTATTTAATGAACTTCTTGTCAGAATCAGCTCCGTCTGCTGATTCTCTAAGTGTTTCCTGGTCAGTCGTCTAATAGAGCAGCTGCTTCTGCTTTAGGTTTATTGTTTTGGTGTAAAAAATTGTTTTTTAAATCTAAAATCTTTTCTTTCATTCTTAGAAAAGCCTGTGGTAATTGTTTATTCCTATTTTGCTCATGTGCTCATCCTATGAGCCCGGGATTTTCTATCACTAAATCTTCCTGCTCTGCGGTTTGCCTTTTTCTTCCACATGCTGCCTTAAAGGAATAGTACACCCAAAACATGATTAGCCTTCATTTTCTACTCACCCCCATGCTGAACAACACTCTGGAGTACTTTTTTGATATC